CCCCGCCCCATGCCAGCCCCGGCGGACGCACTCGCCGGACACTCCCCCGACCGCCTGCTGGCTGGTGCCGTCTAACCCCCCCCCACACACCACCAACACACGCAGCCGCTCGCGCGACCCCCGGAGGGCCCACGCCGCTCCCTCATTTGAAAGCTCAGCGTCGACGACGCCCCTGCCCCTTGCCCTCTTCATATCCACCCCGCTGCGGATCCCCATCCTAACCCCCATCGCCCCCCAAAACCCCTCTGAGCCACACCCCCTACTCCCCCCCCCAAACCAGCCACCCACCACGCTGAGCAGGTCCTTGCCCACGATGGTCCAGTTCTTGGCCGCCTCAACCAGCTCCTCGTCAGACTTGGACGCGTCGGTCGACAGGGCGCCAACCTGGCGGGGAGTTGGCGGGAAATTCGAACCGGGTGTCGGAGGGAGCTGTCGTGCAGACGGGGGCAGGGCAGGCGCGGCGTTGAGGGGGCCGCTGCCTGGGCGCGGCGCGGCCGAGGGCGTAGGGCGCGCTCGGGGCGGCGGCGGTCGCGCAGGCCGGGGTCGCACAGGCGGGCGCGCTCTCGAGGGCGGCCAGACGGCTGGGGCCCGCGGGGTGCGCTCCGGTGCCCGGAAAGGTGGTGAAATGTGGTGAGGGGGGGCGGGGGGCCGGGTGTCCCGGATTCGCACCAGGCAGCCGGTCTCGCGCAGGCGCTTGGTGAGGGAGCGCGTGTCCAGGTCAGAGATGCCGATGACGTTCTGCTCCTTGCAGTACCTGGAGAAAGAATGTGTGTGTGTGCGTGCGCGCGCGCGCGTGTGTGTGTGTGTGTTGTGTGTGTGTGTGTGTGTGTGCGCGCGTGCGCGCGTGTGCACGTGCATGCGCGCACCACAACAGACATGCGCGTCGCGCCGCCGCCAATGCCCAAGCGCACAGCAGGCCGCCTCGCCGCCGCACTGCCCTGCCCTCCCTCCGCAGCCCGCAAGCCGCAAAAATATACGGCTCGAAAGCGGACGCGGGCGCCGCCAGGGGTCGGGAGGGCTTCCCAAAGCAGGAGGCCCCTGCAGCGCGGCGGCGCTCACTGGTCAACGGTCTTGACCGAGCGGTAGTTTGACACCACGCAGCTCAGATCGCGCACGATGATGCCGCCCAGGTGGCAGACGCTGGACTCCATGTCGTCTGGGGTTGGAATTTGGTGCCCAAATTGAGGGGGGCGGGGCAGGGTTGGATGAGCAACAACGGGAGCACCAAGCATGCAGGTAGGGTCCGTGCGCGCCGCTCTCGTGGCGGTGGTGGGCAGCCGCGACCGCCGAAGCGAGCCTGAAAAAGCATGCGCTTGGCCTTGAGTTCTGCTTTCCGCTCGACGGGGGCGACTCTGGGGCGGCTGGGGCGGGCGCGGGCCGCAAAGGGGGCGGCGGCGCCGAAACAACCCTAGTTGGGCTCAATTGGGCCTGACGGCGCCGCCCGCTCAGCTGGAGGGCCGCGGGCGCCCATAAGGGGTGCAGACAGGCGGCATGCAACCCCCATGCACCCCTGGCGCCAATGTGCCGGCGCAGGGGCACGTCTCGGCGCAGAGGGTCTCGCCGCGGGCGGGCGGCCGGCGGCGCGGGGCGGTTGGCGGGCGGTGGCAAGGCGGGGCGCCGCCCTGCCAGCATGACTCACCCTCGTTGATGCCGACGTTCCCGATGTCTGCGGGCGAGCGACGAGTGCGGAGCCGGAGGGGGGGTGGGTGCGTGTAAAGCTGCTCCTGTCGCCCATGCCGCAACAGTGGTACCCAAGCGGAAAAAGCTGCAGCCCGGCGGCGCGCGTGTTTGCTTGCCCAGCCGCGCATGCGATCGCTCCCGCTGGCCTGGCGCGGCGCTCACGGGGGTGAGTGAAGACCACAAACTGGCCCTTGTAGCTGGGGTCAGTCATAATTTCCTGGTAGCCGGTGATGGAGGTGTTGAAGACGACCTCGGCGATCTGCGTGCCGCTGGCGCCAAACCCAACGCCGTGCCAGACCGAGCCATCCTCCAGGACCAGCCGCGCGTCCTTCTTCTTGAAAGGAGACCCGGAAGTGGATGCCCGGACCACCAGCAGCCGGCGACCGGGGATAGATCGCTGCTGCCGCACCCTAGCGCTGACCGCGAGGCCGCTGCCAGCTGTGCAAGCACCGTATACGGCTGTGCTGCAGCTCGTGTTCACAGTGCGCTGCCGCCGGGCGCCTGGGGCCCGCGGGGCCCCCACCACCGGGCGAGCAGAGCACACCGTGCTCGCTGTTGTCTGCTGCAGCATGGCGGCGACTGCTACAATGTCCGACCAAGCGGAAGGGTGCTGCCTATTTCCAAAGAGAGCTGGCACAGGCGCGAATCCACGGTTTCAGCGCACGTGACTCGAGCGTTCTCTCCAACCCTTTTGATGTGCGGGCTTTTGGGCGTGCAGAAGATAGTTTTTTGGGCGCTACGCAGGTCATACCAGCATAGACAGAACCGTCAGGGCATGTGCTCCGCTGCTGGCTGCATGCCTCCAACGGCAGTCGGCCGGCGGCTGCATCGACCGGCGGCCGCGGGCCAAGGGGCACAAGGTGTTCACAACCAAGTGCACGTGGACAAGGAAGAGCTCGTATCCTATGACAGTATCAGCCGCGTTGGGTCAGCAGGGGGGTGTGGGTGGTTTGACTGCAAGTCAAAATGCTGTTCCAGCGGCATCATGCCTGGACAACCCCAAGGCTGCTGAGCCACAGGCGTAGAGCGCCCAGCGCTTTGTTTGGGGTACTGGTAGCATCTAATAGCCCTGCTTCAGCACCTGCAGCAGCGCCACGCCCCATCGCGCAGGGCCCCACCATGTCATGTCCACCCTCAAGCCCCGGCCTGTGCCTAACCTCTGCGCAAACCCAGCTACATCCAACACACAAAAAGTGCGGCACAGGAGCGTGAGAGCTACTGCATGCCGAAAATTGCCCTGAGATCCGATACTAGTCCAGCAACCTGACCAAACCGACTTTACTCAATGCATAAAGAACAGCACAGGTCGAAGAAACAAAGAGCAGCAGCGATGGGCACGCTGCAGCAGGGGTGCACACATCCAGTCCCAATGTGCTGCAGCATTTGCAGCCGCGGCTGTGACTCTTGCGGGCAGGGTGACGGCGACGGCAGGAAAAATCGCGGAAGGGGTGAATGCAGGTGCCATTGCAGCCGCTTGTCCAGCGCTGGTGGGGCTGAATAGGGTTTTGAGCAAGAGCCTGAGGACATCAAAGCAATGCGCTGCATTGTTTCACTCATTTGGCACCAACGGGCCAGCAGCGATGTGCCCCAACAGCCAGTGGCCGCTGGCCACTGCCAGCTGCTGCGACGACGACGCTTGGGGGGGCGCCGGGCAGGTGCTGAGGGCAATGGGAGCGCCTGCCGCAGCCCGTCATCAGCACTCACGCGAAGGCGAGCGCAGGCGTGCCGGCAAAGACGGGCTCGCGCTCGGCCGTTGGCTCGGCCGGCTGGAGCACGGGGACCTTCGGCGCGCCGCCGGCGGGGGACAGGGACATCCGCGGCGCCTCTGCTGCAGACAGCGAGTCGATGGCCTCTTGCACGGACTCAAACACCTGGTCCGGTGTGCGGGTGGCGCTAATCTTGTGCGCCTTGCCCAGCGCCTCGTAGTGGTCGATCACCGGCAGGCTCTGGTCCACAAACGTCCTGAAGCGCTTGCGGATGGTCTCCGCGTTGTCGTCGGAGCGGCCGCTGGTCTCGCCGCGCTTCAGCAAGCGCGCCTCCATCACCTCCTCGGGGCAGTCGAAGAAGAGGACGGCTCTGAGGGGCGAAGGGGCGGGGTGTGCATGCATGTGTCAGCAGAATTGCATCCAAGTGTACGTGAGTGTGTTGATGTGTATGTGTATGTGTGTGTGTGTGCGTGTGCGTGTGCGTGTGCATGCGTGCGTGTGTGTGTGTATGCGTGCGTGTGTATGCGCATGTGTGTGCGTGTGCATGCGTGTGTGTGTGTGTGTGTGTGTGAGTGTGTGTGTGTGTGTGTGTGTGTGTGTGTGTGTGTGTGCTTGCGCGCGCACACGCAGCGTGTCAAGAGTAGCAGACTCTCCAAATTGCGAGGTGAATTCACATAGGCGAAACATGTGTCTGTCGCGGTGCGCACGAGGCCATTTGCCCTTGTTGCTCCTTGCACCTGCAGGGCTTGATCATCTCCTCGAAGCGCAGGGCCTGGTCCATGGCGCGCGGGAAGCCGTCGATAAGGAACTCCTTGGCGCCGCTCTTGATCATGGCCGCCTTCAACAGGCCGATGGTGATCTGAGTGGGCGAGCAGTGGTGCGGATGTCATGAGGGGTCAAAATTGTGGAGGTGCTGGCACAGCAAAACCCACTCCCTGCCAAGATATAAGGTCGCCTTCCCCCACTGCCCACACTAAGCATGGAGCTGCGCTAGGCTGTGCCAACACTATCATCGCCACCAGCAGCAGCACCAGCAGCAGCAGCCGCAGCCGCAGCAGCAGCAGCAGCCGCAGCCGCAGCAGCAGCAGCAGCAGCAGCAGCAGCAGCAGCAGCAGCAGCAGCAGCAGCAGCAGCAGCAGCAACAGCAGCAGCAGCAGTAGCAGCACCAGCACCAGCACCAGCAGCACCAGCAGTGGCAGCAGCGGCGGCAGCAGCAACTCGCATCTTCCAGCAGCCGCTGCGCACCTCCATGGGCACCAGCTTGCCCTCCTTCATGATCTGCTCGCACTGCTGCCCCACTTCAGAGCCGCTCTTGACCTCATCGCGCAGCAGGTCGCCGGCAGACAGGTGCGTGAAGCCGTACTTGGCCACGATCTTCTCACACTGAGTGCCCTTGCCGCTGCCGGGGCCGCCCAGGACAAAAATGATGGATGCGTCCTCGCGGAGCGGCTGCACCGGCGTCACAGCTGCGGCCTTGTGCTGCGGCGTGCAAGGGTCAGGGAAACGAGAAGTGGAAGTCGGAAGTGTGGCGATTGAAAGCAGAGCCAGACCATCGCAAGACAAGCACGAGCTGCCCATGTGTATGCAGGACGCGTCCTCGCCACTCCCAAACCGCTAGGCTCCCGCATGTCCACTTTGCTGCCTGGTGCGAAAGCACCCTTCTCTGCGGCACACCACGCCCGGAATCCACCACTGCAGCCCTCCCGTTTGGAGCCACCGCTGCAGGCTGTACGGCACGCACCATGGTGTCGATGGCCTCCTGCACGGACTCAAACACCTGGTCCGGTGTGCGGGTGGCGCTAATCTTGTGCGCCTTGCCCAGCGCCTCGTAGTGGTCGATCACCGGCAGGCTCTGGTCCACAAACGTCCTGAAGCGCTTGCGGATGGTCTCCGCGTTGTCGTCGGAGCGGCCGCTGGTCTCGCCGCGCTTCAGCAGGCGCGCCTCCATCACCTCCTCGGGGCAGTCAAAGAAGAGGACCATCTCGCAAGGCTTAATCATCTCCTCAAAGCGCAGGGCCTGATCCATGGCGCGCGGGAAGCCGTCGATTAGGAATTCCTTGGCGCCGCTCTTGATCATGGCGCTGCGCAGCAGGCCGATGATGACCTGGCGATTGTTTAGTCGGGGTAGTGGGCCGCTTGATCGTGGCGCAACTGGTGCCGACAAGCAGGAGGTGCTGCAGAAGCTCGCATGCATTTAAGTCACGCATGAAAACATGTCACATGGCACGCATGCACACACAACGGGCTGCTTGATATGTTGGTGTTGTGCATCGCACCATGCGTGTTGCCTTGCACCATGCAACAGCAAACCACCAAACCTCCCGCACCGCTGCTGCGCACCTCCATGGGCACCAGCTTGCCCTCCTTCATGATCTGCTCGCACTGCTGCCCCACTTCAGAGCCGCTCTTGACCTCATCGCGCAGCAGGTCGCCGGCAGACAGGTGCGTGAAGCCGTACTTGGCCACGATCTTCTCACACTGAGTGCCCTTGCCGCTGCCGGGGCCGCCCAGGACGAACACAATCTTGCTGTCAGCGGGCAGTTCGTCGTCTGCCTGACCCTGGCCAAGGGTGATCACATCAATCGTGGGGCCGTCACCATGGCGCCACGGGCTGCAGCGAACAGCGCCCAGCGCGTGTGCGCCAATGCGCTGCTGAGGCCGCCAGGCGACGGCCACCCGTCTCCCCAGTCCAATTTCATGGCTATGAATAAGACGTGCTATTTGGCATACTGCATGTGCGGATGGACAGCTGCTGCATGTGTCGCACAGTCGGTTTTGCACGGGCACAGCAGGCGCAGACTTCTCTCACCACAGCGGCCGGCGCCTTGCCGTTGACCACAATCGTCCCTTGTTTTTGATTGGTATCGGCCTGCCTCTGTGGTCGCGGGCAGGCGTGTGCCCGGGTCAGCGGGCGCACACAGCACACAAAGAGAGCCGAGACCACGAGCCCACACGGATCGTCCAGCTCGACGCACAAGGAGATAACCACGCACCACGTGCTTGCTTTTGCACTGGCCCATTGCTGCGTGGGGGGTGGCCAGACGCGCAGGGCGGGGCACAGAAGAAGGCGGGCACACCGGACAGCCCGTAGAATAGCTGCGATAAAGCTTTAACTGCGCTGCAAACTGGGTGTGTGACAACCAGCCTCACAGCGCGACAAGGGGATCCTGACAGTTCATGCCGTCACCTGGCAGTCCTTCGCCCTGGCGCATGCCGCTGCACAGCCGGATGGACCGCGCACAGCATGTCTCGGCCGCTTGCCAGCAGACAGCCGCTGCGTGGAACCTCATAATCGGCATCCTGTCTGTTAACCAAGCCATGCCAAGCTGTTCGTCTCGCGATTGCGCCACATCGCGTTGCCCACCAGGGGTGGTGGTCAACCGTCGAACAGCACCCGGCCCGCGTGTGTGGCTATCAGTGGACTCGTTTGGAAACGTCAAAATCCCTACCCTTACACCACACGGTCGCGGCTGCATGCACTGTACTACCCCACCAGCATCCCGCTGCTGGGTGGGATGGGGCTGCGCGCAGACGTCCTCGTGAGCTCCTGGCACGGAGACAACCGCAGTGTGCGACTTTGCCCCTTGGTAGCATCAAGAACTGCACAATTGTCTTGACCCCCCACCCTATAATCAACTGAATCCTCGCACCCTTGTCTGTCACACCTGCGCAGTTTTGCCACCTGCCATAATTGCGCGCAGGCCGGCACGCCCCAGCCGCACGTGCATGCAGGTGGCTGTTTGAGGCAAGCGGCCAGGCCGCGCGCGAGGGAGCCTGCACCAGACCCCCAAGTCGAAGCAAGCATGCAGCTGCCTCGCGACGCAAGGCCCAGGTCCGCCGTCTCAATGACCCGGGGCTCTGCCACTCATCAACGCTGGCACCAGCCCTGCCCTTGATTTCAGACCCCGCGCGCCCCGGGATGCTGGGAATTCGGCTGCGCTCGCTGCGCTTGCTGCGAACAATTGAGCGGCCCTGCGACGCCATCATGAAAATCACGGGGTTTCACTTTGCCACTGGCTCCGCCGAGAAGGATCTGTCCGGTTGCGAGCAGCAGCAGTCGCCGCAGTGGGCGCCGAGCTGCGCATGCTCGCGCTTCTATGTTGGCACAAGCAAGGCACGACCACAGTTGCACTTGCAGTCGCGGTCGCCAGCAACCACAGCCGCAAGTACACCTGAGAGCCTGGCTTTGTTGCGGGCCGCTTGGTCCTCGACAAAGCGAGGAGTGGTGCACGGCATCGGCTGCAAGTGTTGCTGAAGGTGGGCATTCTCACAAATCTGCAGCTGGCAATTGTGTTGAATGTCAGCACTCGGATGCGGCGCACCCGTTGTCGGATGCAGCCGCGGAGATGTGAGGGCTCGCAACCCGCCACTGCTCACACGAGGCGCGCCAAGCTATCAGGACGCACAATGATATGCAAGGTGTTTCCAGCATCATATGACACAGCCTACATGACACGGTTGACACACCACCCTCTACAAAAGCAGTGTCAACACCTCAAACCAGCAGGCGAGCACCAGCTGCCCAAATCTCTTAGTCACGTTGCCCAGCACACGAGTCACACGGTCCACGCCCAGGGCACTCACCAGGGACTCGCATATCAACTAGTATTCCGTTGACACGCCAAATCAAGCTTGCCAGCATGGCGCCCGTGGATCCTGAGCAGCAGCAGCCTCTGATCGAAGCGGAGCCGCGCTCCGAGTCCAGCGTGGGTAAATCATGCAATGCGGTGAATGCAGTGCATCTTATGGATGCCTGACACGGTTCCGGGCGTGAGGCACTAGCTGGTGTGTGAACTCGTGACGCGCCACACGCCGGCGCGCGCTGTGGGCATTCCTGCATGACTCCTTGCATGCTGGCGCGCCTGTCACTATCACATAGGATGAGCACGAGCACTACAGCCACAGGGCGCCCTGGCTCCGAGCCATGTGAGTGGTCTGGGGGCCGTTCCTTAGGCGGGACACAGCCAGGACCTAGCCGGCGGCACGACGCGGCACGGCAGCGCGCGACACCCGGCGCATTACTGCGCCATGCAGTATGCACCTCTTGTATCTGCAGCTATATAGCGCCTGTGCAGCAGCTTCAGTGCGCTGCGTCGAGCTTGAGCAAATGTTTCATCAGGTGTACAGTGGTGTCCCGGACGGACCCTCTTCCTGGCTGCTCAGGGGCCGAGAGCGACGGCCGTCACGGCCACAATTGGCCGCTGATGACGGCATCACGCGCTTCGCTTCAACAACCCCGCGCCCGGATCCCACCTGTTGCCCCCTCAGGGTGCTGGGGGCCAACGACGGGCTGGTGTCTGTGGCGTCCCTCATGATGGGCATCGGCGGCGCCAACGATGGTGCGGGGTGTGCGGGCACCCTCTGCCGTACAAGGCGCCCGCGGCGGCGGCAGCAGCAGCAGCAGCAGCAGCAGCAGCAGCAGCAGCAGCGCCGAGGCTGCAGCGCGAGCTGCTGCCGCTGGCGTCTCACATTGCTGCTGCACTCAATGCGCTGCCGCTGCTGCCGCTCCCGCCTGCTGCTGCTGCTGCTGCTCCTCCTGCTGCCGCCGCTGCTGCTGTTGGACACAGCTTTCACTCTGAACCCATCCACCCCACCCACACAACCCTGCTGTGCCTCTCAACGCATTCTCGCAACCGCGCGCCACTCTTGTCGCCTCTCCCTGCCCCTGCCTACGTTGCATGCCGCCCCCTGTCGCGGCCATCCAACCCTACCTTGCTCTCGCGCGCACCCTGAGCTTGCAGGGCTGCGTCCCGCGCTCCCGTGCATGCGCGCGCGCGCACACACACACAATACAAACACACACACACACACACACACAATCACACACACGACATCACAAACAATATCACACACACAATTACACACACACTACGACCCACACACACTTAACCCCAACCCCCGACCAGACCTTGAGGCCATGAAGCTGGCCGGCCTGGCTGGCCTGGTGGGCGGCGCCCTGAGTATGGCTTGCGGCGAGTACATCAGCGTCAGCAGCCAGAAGGACGCAGAGCAGGTGGGACGCGCACACCTCCTCCCTCCCCCCCATCGCGGGCTCTGGCGCCCCCAGGGCCCTGCGCGCACGCCGGAGGGGGCCAGCCGTACGGTGTAAGATCTGGGACGCCGGTTTTTCTAGGCATGCCCGACCCACGTGCGGGCAGGGCGCAACCGCGGCTGTGCAGCGCGGGCCCCTCAGGGCGGTCAACTCACCTGTCTTACCTGTCACACATGTAGTCCTCATAGCCGCGACCACGACTGAACTGTGGTGCACTCATGTAACTCACAGGCTCTCACCCTCTGCAAATCGCGCGGCTGCTGCCGACCCACCGCCAGGCCGACATCCAGAAGGAGATTCAGGAGCAGCAGAAGGGGCCAGAGGCGCGGGCCCGCGAATTTGAGGAGCTTGTGGGCGTCTACATGTCGGTGAGCGTGCAACTCTTTACGACGATCCTGCGCAGGCCCGCGCCCGCGACGGCGTGGCCTTGTGCTCCGAAAGGGCCACCGGGAGGAGGGAGGGTGGGGAGCCGCCCCTGCTATTGGGGGCGCACGGGCCGGGGAAGGGCTCTCGCTGGCTGGGCGTGCTTCGGATGTTTGCTGGGCCGGAAGGCTTGCGAGGCGCGCCTGGGCGCCCTGTTTTATTGATACGGCAGCACCGCCGCGCCGGCGAGCGTTGACAAGAGTCATCCCTGACTCCCGCCATGCCCCTCCAAGCGGGCTGGCGGGCCTGCTCAGGTCAAACATGGGCGAGCTTTGCCCTATTGTTTGTCGCACATCCGCGCGCCGCCTCCTATCGCCCCCCATCACCACCCCCAGCGCGGCATATCTGAGGGGCTGGCCCGCCAGGTGGCCCAGGAGCTGACGGACGGTGACGTCATCAGGGCCCACGCGCGGGACGAGCTCGGCATCGACATCGATGACCTGGCAAACCCCCTGCAGGTGTATGAGGGCGTTGGGCATTTTGTGACTGCGCCGACATGGATTTGTGCGAGTGGGGCGCTTGAGTGCGTGCGCACAATCTGATAACATTGCACCGTCTTCTTTGTGCCGGGTGGTGCTGTGCAACGGTCGGTCATTTTGTCAGCACTGCATACAGCGCCGTTGTACATTGTACACCCCTTCACACACCGCTTAGCTGGCCGCAGCAGGCCGCGCCCCTGCATTCATGTGCGCCGGCTCAGTGCCTCAAGCGCTCCTCTTATGCACTGCAAGTCAGAGCGCCAAAGCTGACGCGGCGCGGAGCCGACCTCCTGCACCCCTGACCGCCCCTCCCGGCTTCCCCGACCGGCACCCCTCCCCGCAGGCGAGCGTGGCGAGCGCGATTGCGTTTTCACTGGGGGCCGGCATCCCCCTCCTCACAGGTTTGGGGGGCAGGAGGGTGGGCAGTCAGCAGAGCCTGGAATTTGGAAGGCGGGCCGTCCCCTCCTGCATCTTTGCGCCGCAGCATCACCCCTTGTGTAGCGCCTGCGCCGCAGCACGGCGTGGCCCGGCTGCCGCCTGTCCCCCTCCTCCGTGATTTGCTGTTTGATTTGCTGCGCTAGCGGCGTCCTGCAATTACTTCGTTGACCCCCGACCGACGCTCGTCAACAGCGGCATAAGGGGTGTTGCTGGAGGCGCAGTCACCTGCCCCTCCGTGAATCACACCCACCCACTCACCCACACACGCACGTACAAACGCACGCACACACACACTCATCTGACCGGCCCCCCTCAGGCGCCTTCATCCCCGACGCGTTCACGCGCCTGCTGGCGGTGGGTGGCGCCGCCACCCTGGGGCTGATCCTGTTTGGCGGCAGCGGCGCGTGGCTGGGCGGCGCGTCCGTCCCCAAGGGCGCGCTGCGGGTGCTGCTCGGCGGCTGGCTCGCCATGGCGCTCACCTACGGCATAGGTGCGTGCGCGTGGTCTCGCGCGCCTGCTCGTGAGGGCGTCAAGGTGGGACCTGCCGCCATGGTTTGAGACGCCTGCTCTGGTCTGTATCCCAGCCCTCTCCGCTTGCTCCGCTCCTCGCGCGGCGAAGCTCCTTACACCCCGCCACCCGCCCGCCCACCGCCCGCGCTCGCACCCCTGCGCAGGCAAGCTCGTTGGCGGAGAGGTGCCCGTTTAGGGGACGCGTCCACACGCCCCTGACTCTTGAACCAGCCGCGGCCCGCGCGCCTGTTTCAGGCACTTGTGCCGCGGGCTGCGCACTCAAAGGCTCATCTTCCTCTGCTGCTGCGACCCTGCGGTCGTTTCGCGACAGCTCTCCTTACAGGCCCGCCGCGCCCGTTGCCGCTTCGCCGTGGTGCTGCGGCGGGGCGGGCAGCACGACTGTCTGCTCGCAGGCTTCTACTGTGCGACCGTCAGGCATGGCCGCAGTTTATGTACTCGCACACCTGCCCTTGGCTGCGGCACTCGTAGGAGCAGCCAGGGTTGCTTGCTTTCCTGCGCAATTGCGTACGCGGCGGCAATGCTTGTTGGCAACATCAATGGCTGGACGCGATTCCTGATGCAAGTTTGCTCCAGCACCTCTACTGGGCTGCCTCTGCTTGGGCGTGCACGGGATGCGTCGCCGCGGCCGCTATCCCCAGACAGCAGGGCCATACCAAAGAGCGCTGTTTGGCTTGCCCCGTGACGCACGTGCTCTGCACCTTGATTGCTGCCTGGCGTCTGCGAACGGTGAATTTATTCGGTCGTCTGAGGTTCCTGGGCCGCGAGTATGTGCCGCACGCGCGCGCTCTCGCGTGCGGCGGTTTTTTCATGGCTTGCAGAGCTAGTGGCTTGCCCATCATGAAGCTTGCGGCCATTGTGTAACCAAGACCTGCAAGTCCTGCAAAGGCTTTTCAAATTCCGACATCAAAACCCTGAAGCAGTGTGTCTGCGGCGGCCTTGATTACAAGCACCGGCAGGATGGCGAGGCGCAATATGCGCGGCATGCGTGGGGAGCAGTAAAGTCGTTGCGGTGGGAGTGTGTGCGTCGGAAATCGAGTGTCACGGCCCGGCACACGCCTCTCGGGCATGCACACGCGCGCAGCGCGGGCCTCTGTGTCATGTGCCTGTTCCTAAGGGGAAAAAGTGGGTATTTGTGCACGGCTCTCTTGAGTGATAATATCGTCTTGGCTCGGGGTGTGCACATACATATTCCCGCCGCCTGCGGGGCGGCGCCCGCCAGCCGCACCGCGGTCCCGCATTGATCATGGCATTCTGAGGGCCCGCGCTATGGGGGCAGGACGGGCCATCACCAAGAGGGGGGCCCGGCCGACCCGCGCGCCGGGCGCTGGAGGGCGCAGCAGGGGCCGCAGGGGCGCTCGCCGCCAGCCCCTTCAGGAGTCGCGGCTCACGGCGGACGCGCGCCCGAGCCGCGCCCCGCTCGCAGCCGCTGCTGCGGAGAAGCGAGCTGGCGCCCCACGGCCCGCCGCCGGCCCCGCAGGTGCCCCGCGCGCAATTTGCTCGGAAGATATCGCCGCAGTACACCCGGCGCCGCAGTACACCGTCAGAGCACACCCACCAACCGACGTCGCCCAGAGCCCAGCGCGACAACACGGCCCCGCACCCCGCCGGTCGAGGCCCGAGCATGCCCCAGAGCTTTGAGCGTGGTATGGTGCGGGCGTTGCCGGGCTCCTGTGGCGCAACCAAAACGCGGCGACGTGCACAAGGGCCCAAAACCGACACGCGCTAGGCGGTGTGGAACGCCCGGCTTTGGAGGGCGGGGGACGGCCCGTCGCGGCTGCCGCCCCGAGCCCGCCGAAATCGAGGCGTTGCCCCGTATGTACAAGAGAGGAGCTGGAAATTCAAGGATGTATGAGAGAATGGAGTCTGCATTGCACCCAACGCGGCGCGCGCAGCCGAGGCGGCCGCGACCCCGCCGCCGCCGGACCGCGGCCGGCGTGCCGCGGGCCCGGCCAGGGGGTCAGAGCACCCCAAAAGCCATGGCTGTGAAGGGTTCGAATGCGCGCGCTGGGCGCCGACAGGGCAGGGCAAACTGCGTTCCTTGGGGTTGTGAGAGCTTAAGGCCTATCTGAAAAGTCAAAGCAGTGATCTGCGGCTGAGAGCCGCCACCAATCTACGGAGCGTCCGAGGAAAGAGAGGGCGAGATGACTTGCGGGGCAGGGCGGCACACGAATGCACATCAGGCACGGCAGCAGTGTATGTGTGGGGGTTCCTGCACGTGTGAATCGCTCCTGGCGAGAACCCTCCGCCCCGGCCAAGCGTGCTCATGGCGCGCGGCACATGGGTGTAGGAGGGGCGTCGGGGGGCCTCCTCTCGCAGTCTCTCGCAGCAGACCAGGCGCCAAAAAAACTAGTAGCGGGGCAGCCGGCCGCCCCGCAACGGTGCGCGCCGCCGCGCGTGCGCCGCCCGGTGGGAGGCGGTTCGGGGTGCCGGGAGACAAGGCCTCAAATATGCAGGTTGTGATTGGCGGCAGGAACGGCACAACAGCGTGCGCTGCGTCGCGGGCTCGCCGCGCGGCGCCCGCCTCACGCTGCAGCACGCGGACCCGCGACGCCGCAAGCCAATCACAGGGCGTCGACCGACAGCAGAGCAGCCCTCCCACAGCGCAAACCCAGCTCTTGTCGAACCGCACAAAATCACGCGGCCGCATCCGGTCGTCGCCAAGCTGCTGCATGCGCCTCACGCTCGCCCGCTCGCGGCCGCCGCCGCCGCCTCGCTGCAGCCCCACGCGCCACATCAAGCGCCAGGCGCGGGCCCGCGCCCGCGCTCGCCTCGGTCCGCGCCGCCCCTCACGCGCAGTACATGTACAGGCTGTTTGAGGCGGCGCACGCAACCACGTTGGCCTCCGGGTGCCACGCCAGGTGCAGCAGCTTGCTCGCATAGTCGCTCTGCGTCTCGGGCTGCTCCCCGGGGCTGCGCTTGCCGATGCCGCCCTTGCTGCCCGGGCGGATGGAGAAGCGGCCCCCAGACTGGCGCGGGGCGGGACGGCGCGGGGCGCGCAACGTCAGTGCAAGGTTTGAGCGCCCCAGTCAACAAGCCGCAGCGCGGCTGGCGGCCTGCTGACTGGCCCTGCCCCTTCTGCAATAGGGGCCAGCTTCGCCCCGGCCACCGCCCGGACGGGCAACCCCAGACGCCCCGCCCCGCGTCCGCCGCCCCGCCGCCCACCTTTGCCGGCGGCGTCTGCATCCGCTTGCGCATGGGGTCCCGCGTCGCCTCCAGCGTGCCCTCCGCGCCGCTGCCCGCGCCAAACACGCGGAACGAGTTGCTGTACGAGCCGCTGGCCACGTAGGTGGCGTCCCCGTTCATGCAGCAGTCAAACTTGTCAAAGATGCAGTCGTTCTCGTAGAGGTCGCACAGCTGCGCAGAATTGGATTTT